ATATTTATTTAAAAGCAGCTATCTGTGATCGTAAGCATTTATAGACTGGAATTTATTTTAAAAACAAATGCATGGATAATCCCGTAGATCCTGGCCTATTCGTCTCTACCACGTTATCAACCTGGTACGCAGATCATTGAATCTCATTGACCACAACTTGTACGTCTTTCATTTCAATTAAAGACAAATAACAGTGCATTTAAGATTATTATTATTACAGAAGTTAAAAACATAATCAAGACATTAAAATCACAATGTGCTTTTCGTAATATATTGCAAATTGTAAAAAAGTGCTTAGATACTTTTTAGTTTCAAAAAAACTTTTTTATAACATGGATAACAAAAAATAATTAAAGGAAGCTTTGTTAACCACTATACTATTATAATGATAAGCACATCAATTACAGCTCGTGTGGAGCCCACATGTCTAATCAAATGGGACACGATAACTCGGGTAATTGCACAGATCATTGATAAACGTTGATCATTACCTATTTAGCTAACTGTGTTTACTTGACTTGTAGAATATTCGATTCATTAATTAATTTGCAACCTCTATAGAACCTTTAGAAGATTTTAAGTTACTTTCACGTTACGACGCTACAATACCAAAATGGTCTTTGACACCATGTATTTCTAGAACGTGTGGCGGGTTAAAAAATACGAGGATGCCGAGAGATCTTCGTCCAACAATAGAACATTGATGACGATTAAAAAAACGGAAATGCCCTTTGCAAAGGACTATGGTGCTTATCAGTTACCATAATAGTAAAACATGATCCGCTAAAGCAACGCGCGCACACTAATCTAGGTCGCAATCGGAGGCCAAAGTGTGTCGTAAAACAACGCAGTCGCGAATAAAAGGGACGGAATCTTATTAAAGTAAATATTTATGGCATTGCCATCAACCGATTGGACGAGGGTTCCGTCGCCATTGATAAATTGTCCCGCCGGTTGCGGCCTAACGGCTACTCTCCCAAATATTTCTCGTGTTACATATCGCGCTAAAAAAAATTCGATGTGTTTGATTTATGACATAATTTCCTTTCACGCCTTTTGATAAGTTTCCTTGGAATTCGGGCGTGAGTGCGTCGCGGGACACGGGGACGCTTTTATGCTGAGTAAATCTCGCCCACGCCGAACGCTTGAAACTTGCTTGAGCAAAATACAGTGAAAATAAATGAAACTTGAAAAAACTGAAAAACTTAGTGAGCTTCGGGAACTTAAATAGTTGAGCATCTCGACGCACAAAGTGGCGAGGCAATTTTGTCTCTATTTATTTACCTGAACATAGACAAGAGCATGTCTCCACACAATCAGCTTGACGGAAAAGTTGATTGTTCGTGTTCCATTCAACTTCACAATAGAGAAAATGAAGAGGAACCAATTCTTTTTACAGCAGCTTTTATCCACCGTTTCCTACGCTTGCCGAAAGTTTGCATTTAGACTCTCGACTCGAATGCATTAGAATCTGTGCAAATATTTGTCCTCGAGTCGACTATGTATTTTTCTTTTGGGCGATGATTTCGATAAATTGTTTATACATTTGAGAACCTAAAACCTGGTTTTGTTATTCTCTTTACGGTCGTTCTACTAGTACTGCAACTGCGTAGCAAGTTGTAATATAATCATACATCATAGCCTGTCCCAAAACTGAAACAAACGCTCCAATTAATAGGCTTCTTATAAGGATCGATCGCATAAGGCCGCCAATGGCAGGCAATTCTGTTTTCTCATAACCTCGTCTTTTTCTCACTAATAGCTATTGCGATTAACTTGTTATTATTAGCTGAGCTCAGAAGCAATCCGGCAATTATTTACGTAGCAAACATTATGTCACGATGAAAGCTCGTTGATAAAACTTTTGGCTAACTATTACGTCAGAATGGACAATTCCCGAACATCTCTTAATTATGGTGCTGCGTATTTCGTATTACAATAATGAAGCGAAACAATAACAAAAGTTTGGACGTCGGAGCGCGGCCGGCGAACAACTTCACCGCTCTGCTCATTTGAGTGCTTGTTGAGCTCCTAATGAAAACTTGCCAGTTACCGCCGACATAGAACGTTACTTTTATTGGGCAAAAAACAAGGACAAAGTCGCCACTATGACTCGTGTTAATCCACTTTTACTTATATTTCGCTTTCGGCTTCAATTAGCTAACTTATAACTTGGCCGGAATTACAGATTAAGAGACTCATTTACAATAAATTCTAGTAACGACGGGCTTGGGGAAGGGAAAAGGTAGCGAAGGTATAGAAAAAATGTAGCACACAACCCTCGAAGGCGTAGAGGGCACGACGTGGAGGCCTAAAGTTGTATAACGTCCGTTATCGACGCCTACAATAAGTCGCGTTTTATACGGTTATTATAGCGCCATAAACGCCACCGGCCGGTGTTTCATACAGTGCCGGGCAGATTATACTGCCTGCGGGCCGCGGGGTGAAGGGGTGGGGTGCTGGGCGCGCGAGGCGGGCCCGCCCACTGTCAGCTCCACGTGCCGCCCGACAGATGTGTCGAGATATCCGATATCGGGAGACACATTCATAATCTTTGCCTCAACCTTTTGCTTCTTATATTAAAATAACTAAACCTTCTCTCAGGTGAGAACATGACGTGAATTAAAAATTGGGCCACTAATATACAGGCGGAATCCCAAGGCCACGAAAAATATTTAGGTGAAATAGTAATTACACTTTATTCCACAGCACACACACTACACTTACGCTTTTAGTTTCGTTTTTCAAATATAATTTTTTACAATCTTTGTTTTAATGACTGAATGGTAATAAAGTATTTCTTGTAAAAGTTTGGATTACGAAGGGTATAAATTATTCTGATGCATGTTTAATTTGTCAAAGCAGAACCCACGGAAGGCAACGCTCGCAAATCACCCGAAATCCCCAGATTTAATTAAAGTATTCCACCTAAAAATAAAGGTACATGTACAGTACCTACTCTAATTGACGCCGAAAAAAAAGTTAATTCCTGGAGCGACGTTGGAAGAACTTTCATTAGCGTTTCACGACTATAATTGCAAGTTAAAATAATTATGTTTACGGAATCCTTTTCTTACCCAGAGATTATTTATCTTCTCCATTGTTACAAGAAGTGACGCGGACGAATTTCACGAAAATACCCCATTTATCTACAGCGAGCACACAAAGGCAATGCGAAACCCAAAACTTTTTACGTGGTCAGTGACAATGCTATTTCTCTCTTTTCTCTTAACGTTTCATTTCTAACTTCTAAGGGTATTGTATTTGTACAGTTTGTGGGCGGCAATAAAACATGTTCTATTTTAGGGTTTGACGTTGTCTTACAGGAGTTCTTAGATCCAATTCGGCAGTCGCATTTTATATTTGCTCAAGCGTCGCCCGCAGATAACTTAACTCAGCAGCGGCCGCTTTTGCTTACTTTATTCGGTTTACAGACCCGCATAAATAAGGGAAGCTATCGGCTCCACTCGCCATGGAACTACATAATCTGCTTCACCGCCCCCTCTCGCCGTTTCACTTATTATCCCTGTATAAAAACAACGCTTTATCAAGTTTTGTACTCCGCCGACACCATGTTTTACGCGAGAAGGGATTGCTATCAATCGTTTTTATTCGGAACGCAATAACGCAGTAGCGATTTTCTTCCTTCATAGACCGTGCCGACCTTATAATGCATAAAGAAAATACGGTCATCTATGGAACTCAACTGAACCCTTATTTGCCTTTTCGGTGTGTTACTATCTTTGCCTCAATTCCTACGCAAAGCCACCCCGCCGCGCGTGAAATACCAAATGCGCCCTAGTTTCGTGGAACGGATCGCGCTGTTTGTTTAGGCCAACTGGAGCCGCGAAAGGTGATGGACTCAATATTAACAAAGAGCCATCGTCGGATTATAAATATCGGTGGAAAGGTGTAACATTTTGACGGGTGTTTGTTGATTAGCAACTGTTAAGTGAGGTCGTGATAAATGATTTTAAGGTTTTGTTTATACAAAGAGCAGCTCTGTTTGAGAATGACTCATTGCTGTCATGAAACTTATGCACACGTGCCCATATCAACACGTGGACAGGCCAACGAGCGAGTTACAAGTTCGGCGAGGGAGCGCGTATACGTGTCAGCATAATTGCGGCGCCGTCTACTGTTTGCCGAGCGGCTCGCTAATGCTATTTGCCGTGGCGGGTGGACACGTCACATCACGTGTGTGTGTCTTAATCGTTAGCAGACAGAAACATGCCTACTCATCTCCTTGTTTTGTTTGCCACTTTAAGCAGAAACTTTGACAATGTCAGGTGATTACGTGATTTTGGGACAACGGACCGAAGACGTGTTTCGAAGTTCTAGGATTTATTTGTGTGACAGATTGTTAAGCTCGAAAGTATAAGTCACCGTATGGGGCAAAGTAAATATCGGAAAGCGATTCGAATGTCTAGTGCGAAACTCAAAATTCCAATTTGTAATTCATGAATCGTATAAGGAGGAACTTCAGCGATCTTTTGAGTACGGCCGGCGAACGTATTGTCGAAGTTGGTCGTTGCAGTAGCCACGTGAATATCTTGGAGCGTTTAAAGGATCTTGATTGTATTGTGAATAGCGCTTCTAAGTTTTAATATTAAATTGGATATTTCAAGCAATCGACGGCTTTGATCGCGCCAGCCGCCCAACAATGCTTGGTTGATAGGCATTGTCAAACTGATTGACGTCCCTTTTGAACTTATACTGATGCGCATTTCGCTTTTGTTAAGATAGAAGTTAATTTTGCTACCTACTCAAACGTGTGAACGTGGGTACGGGTAGATTATATTTAATTATAAGCAAAGTTATAAGCGTACGAGAAGGCCCGGTGTATTAGTATAGTTTATAGACTGTTAATCAACCAATTTTCCATGAATTACTATAACATAATTAAGGCACATCATTATTTATACCTCCGTATTATTTGTGCCATATTCCAAGAACCTTAGGTAACAATATATTAATTATTATACTGTTCATTGTTTCAGGTTTTGGTTTCGTCACGTTTCAAAGTGAAGATATTGTAGATAAAGTGTGCGAAATACATTTTCACGAAATCAACAACAAAATGGTAAGTTGTTTTTCTGTTATTACACCTACATGTCACAAAACACAGTTCTAAATAAAATTTATATTGCTAAATACAATATTGACGCTTTAAACCCATCTGATATTCAAGAAACAGTTGATATATTATTATTTTAGAATTACATGTAAAGATGAAAGCCTGGTGGACTAATATATAATATAACTCGTTATCTAATTCCCACTCCACTTTCTTACCACACACAATTTTAACACGCTTATAAGTTAGCATAAGTTAATGTAAGCTCTGTACATTTGAGTTAAAATATACAAATCATCATTATCAATATTCCATCATGTGTAACTTTGAAGCCACTTACCAGAAATCGTGGTAACCATTAAAGGTTTGACCTTCCGCCACTCAAGTTTTTCGGAATGTTTGAGCGAAATTTAATTTAAATTTACATTTTCGGCTAGGGTTTTGCTTTGAGGAAACCTGCACACATTCGCAAAGGAATTTAATGATGTATCTAGGCGTAGACTAGGGTTCCACCCCTATGTTGTGTATATTCCAAAGATTCGCACTAAGCGTTACGCTTCCACATTTATATGGCGAACGGCTATGGAGACGAATTCCCTGCCTGCAGACTTGTTCCCTGAATGTTATAACTTGGGCCTTTTCAAGGCCAGAGTGGGCATTATTTAGGTGTGCATGCTTCATCGTATCTCATCGTGACTTTCCAATATGTGCAGTGAATAAAATTCGTTTATTCAATTTCGTTTCTCAGAGACGTGGTAAGAATATTCTCTGTCATTTTTAAGCAAAACTGTTAACTAGTGCATACTAACATTGTATAATGCCATCAGGCGTACGACTTGTTCTTCCCGTCACTTGGTATCATAAAAAAAATGCTATGCTACATAACTTGTGTCGCCTCATTAAGGTTGTGACGTCACAAACTAATTATAGCCATTTCTTTCTAATACCTCATTTATAAATGCCAGTAACTGCTAATACTACAATTTTATTAAATGGCTTAAACAATGTCCTTTCTAGCAAATTTGTAAAAATCATAACACTAGAAATATCATCAAATGTACAAACAGCCGTTTAGCTTCTTTGGTAAAAAATGGGTGCTATGAAAAAACAGAACTTTAGCAAAAGGATACAAAGGTAAAAAAACAGATCTGGAAAATAAAAAGTAGGTCACTAATAAAAACTTTCTCGTTTTTAAGTTCTCTGTAAAAAAAGTACCTTGCCTTATTATGAACATCTACATTTTGTTTATAATTGTAACACTTTTTTTTCTATTTTGTTAAAACAATTTTTTTGAGGAATAAACCTCATGAGCGCGATATCATAATTCAACGATCTATCAAATTAATAAAACCTTAATTGGTTTTATTTAATATGACTTTTTATATTATCATTTTATCCTTAAACTACAAAATCAAGCAAACTTGTTTACAAGGAATCTGCGTGCGACTCTATACTAACTTGACATTGTCGGTCAGATATCAATTAGAGAAGGACCCGAGCTGGCGGCTCGCCAAACTAAGCCAATAAAGCGCCCCACTAAAGCTGGCTTTTACTATGTTTAGATTTTTCTCCGCCAGGGGGCCGTGACATGTGTATTCGAGATGTAGCCACGACACCCCGTGATTTAAGCCGCAGACAGATGAGATTGCGCTGTTGATTTAAACAGTCTGGATGGTTTAGATGGTCTTTTGTCGACTTTGTCTTTCTTGAATAGTGGTGGTTACATATGAAGAAGACATTTAAAAGCTAGAGACTTTTATCGTTTTTTTAAGAGTGGTGATAGGAGTCTCTATGCAGCGGTCACTTGAGAAGTGATCCCCAGGATAGGAAGGACTACTCCTTCCTTCCTTATTCCTTCCTACTTACTTCTACCATTAAAAAGTTTTGCTGTGTTCCCGTTTGAAGGTTAAGGAAACATAAAACTGAAGATTTCATATGCCACAACCGTCAACGCGTTCATGATACTTCCATAGTCTCTACGGTATCTACATATATGCGACGGTTACTAATTCCCATCAGGTGAACCGTCTGACTGTTAACTGGTTTACGTACCATGAAAGGAAAGGTAATCATTTATTTTTAATTTAATCCGTATTTTACAAACTTGCTTACACTAACACCGCAGGCAATTAATTCAAACTTTCCCCTCGTAACAGTGTTGTCTACCGCTGTCCACTATCCGCGCAACATTACTAGTTGCCCTTTACAAGACTATTACAATCATGTGCCGCTATAAACCTCGCCCCGATTAACTTGTACGACGCAGCACGCACATTGTCTACCCCCACGTTTTATTATTTCATTCAAATTTTCAGGACGCTCGCTGACGAATTTATCGCGCCACTTCACGCATGCTCTATGCTATAACTCCAATAAAACTAATTATACGATAATTACTACACTAATAAATGTAACAGCATAGTCATAAAACTCATTACATTTTGTATTTGCCTAGTAAAGTAAACCTCATTTGAATTCTGTTCGATACAAGTTCAAAACAGCAGAAATCCCTGTCTAAAAGATCACAGCTGTAGGTACTTAGGCACGATCCATAACGTGCGTCGTAGTCAAAGTTTTCGCCATCCCTCGAAAGTAAAGGAGGGCGACACCGCTCCCGGCCGTTGTCGATGCATATTCCTGATTATTAATGCTTGTTTTTTGTGTCTTGCCCTATTGTCTCGCACGATAATGGCTGTACGAAACTCACGGCATGTGTCGGGTGGAATCGCAAGGGTGATGCGTGCCCTAAGTGGAGTAAACAACGAACAAAGACATCAAACAAATGGGTAGTGTTTTAGAGTAATTACGGTTCGCTTCCGTGCGAAACGAGAGGTGAGCATGATGCGAACCTGCTCCCTAGGCGTAACATATACACGACGGAAACTAATCGCTTATTATTTTGCCCTTTTTTGTTGCGTGTCGGTGCAAATGATCAATGTTACTGTAAACTTCCTTTTCACTTGCCTTCCTAAACAATGTAAACAGAATGGAGTTACAAAGTAAAGAAAGTACATTGTTTGTTTAATGTCGCTTCTTGTGCTTTATATCGATACATTTTTCAACATCTAGCAGAGTAATCTTGAGTATACATTTAATTCAGGAACGTGATACGTAAACAGAGAAGGCTATTAAAAATCCGCGTAGTTTATCATAAACACATCTAATAGTTATATTTACGCACGCAATAAAGAAGACAGAGGCGTCACGTCAGCACTGGCGTTTACGCCACGGGTAGCTGCCCTCGTAAATTTAATATGTCATCTCTTATATTAAAATGGTCGTTAAGCTAATAGCTGCTCCGCCTTCCCGCACGAGAGTGATAGGGTGATGCCGTGGCTTACTTTGAATAATAAAAAAAATATTATCTTTATTTTCGGATAACGGAAATTGTGACGTAGAATGTCCAGGCAGTCCAGCAAGTATGATTAATGCTTGCGCGTGACATGTTCACCTCAGTCTTAACATTTTGTTCGTTTTATTTTCCGTTTTAGCTATTTGAAACAACGTATTATTACTATTATTGTAATGTAAATACAACAATAAGTCAAGTTTTAATACGGAAAATTAAGATTCGAAACGATGTTTAATTAACGATTGTTTGTTGTAAAAGACATTGCGCGAGGAAACTCTCGGCGCTGCATTTTGAAACATAAATACGGGCCTCCATTTAACGTTCGCAACAAATTTTCGTCACTCCATTACGTCCTTACACATTACTCCTTTAATTGCTTCCGCTTACCATGAATTTTAACAACAAAGCAGCAACGTGCCGCAAAATGGGTGAAATACAATGTAGTTTAGATTTCACCTCCTAACATCAATTTCTATTTGCCGGATTTAAGCAGCCCCGGGACGTACACCTGCGCCTTTTCTTTACACACCTGTTAAAGTCATCCCATTACGGAGCAAATAAGGGCGCGCAAATGCGTAGCTTTCAAGAAAATTTCACTGAATTTGTCAAAGGCTGTCGAAAGTGCAATTTATTGTTCGATTATTCGAGTCCCATTGGCCCTCAAGAAGTACTCGTAACAATCACAAATTGCCACAAATCTCGAACCATGTGTAGTTATCGTATATCACGTCCACTTGAAGAAAATTCAGATTTAAGAGTTCACCGAGTGAAATATACCTATCAAACTAGCTGCATTAGCTTCGAACATAAAGTTACAAGTTGTGTAGATCGCCCAACTTTTGCAAATAAGCAACTTTTATGGTGTAAGCCACACGAGCGAATTTCCCGGTTTTATTTTTCGAACTACGGGCTACGTTTTATTGGACGTTTAACTAATGGTTTTCCAAAACAACGTGACAGCAGTACTCGATGATTCATTACGCACGTTTTTTGCACATCCATATCAATTTTAATATTTCTCACGGTTAACATAACCGCGAGAAATTCACATTCGAAATTCGTTCACGTTCCAACAAAAGGCGGTGACATAACAATGCACTAGAAGCATTACAATCACATAAACACATGCAAGGGATGCGGGCAATCGCGTATATTTTTCTCCTCAATCGTGCATGAGGCAAACAAATGGTTTCCGTTTACGAAATAACACTAAAAGTAGGCACATTTGAAACTGCCACTTAAATCTTGGGATCCTCGATCGCCATTTCTCTTAGCGTCTTAACTGGCTGGTGTAGGGCTGGCGGGTGCCGGCTGCCGGGGCACCCTTGTCGTTACTGCTACATTAAAGAATGGCCTACACACCCATACGAAGCGTGCACCCGCCGAGTTCTTGATAAGAAAAGAGATTCAAGCAAGATTAATTCTGCCCTTGTCTCGAGCAATTTTCGTTTACGAAATTCTCGTAAACTTTCAGCGGATGCGGAAACATTCACACTTTTTTTCGAATATTGGATAAAAAGACACATCTTGAGTACCCGCTACTCGCTCCGCTGGTATGTCCCCCTCTCCCTCTCACCGTTTGAACAATCAATCACGTGCTCCTCCGCAACCGTGATTACCATAAACTTCCCGTTTTAGCAGGACCCAGCCCGCT